GAAACCGCTTCATGGTTAAGGTACAGATAATCACTTGAGGCTTTAATTTTGTAATGATGGAATCGGGTGAGGGGGGGTTGGGAGACAGAATGTTTGTTATTCAAACTAAGAAGTTTTTAATTAATAGGCCTCATCACAAACATTACAGTAAAAATTCCCTTCATGGGGCTTTTATTTTGAAATTATTGGATTGGGTGGGGTGGGGGGGGTGTAGATAGAGGGAGGGAGGGTGAGGAAGGGAGGGGTGGTGAGGAAGAGATAGAGGGAGAGAGAGAGAGAGGAGAAATAGACAGACAGACTGGCTGATTAACAGTGAGAAGAGGTCAGGGTGGAGGGGGGAGGGGGGGCGAGTGTCTTTATCATATTGGTCTGTTGACAGAAAGCATAGCTGCGTCATGTGACTCCACTAATCAGGTCATAGGAGCAGCTTTGAGCCACAGACAGAGATCCTGCAGCGTGTGAGCGAGTAACCACGACAACGGCGCACCTGTGCGGCTGCACAAGGGCAGACACAGGACAGCGAGTTACACAGAATCCACACCTCAAACAAATGAGAACCAGCGCAAAACTATAACAGCTATCTAAAAAATACGGCGTTTGTATGAGACCCAAGACTCTACCGAACGCGTGGATGTGCTTTTTATGTCTGTCCGGTAATAAATACGGCTCCTATGGCCGTTTACAAAACGTGTACCTTGTGGATTTTTGTGAGAAATATGTCGGCAGATTTGTATTGGAGCCTATGGGGCTTTTGGCAGAGGTTGTGTCACTCAAACACTCCTTGCGCCAAAACTAAAAAACTCTGGGATTCCATGAACACATTAATCCAATCAGCACAACCATACCCTCATTAATCTGAAGAAATGAAGCCTATAGAGTGTATACTTTGGCTGCAAGGACAGAAGTTCCATACTTTTTTAACCAGATTTCTGCGCTGCTTCACACTCTAGCCCGCGAGCTCTCCACTCTAGCAGACGCAATACACACTCATGTAAAAGTCAGAAACGGAGCGAAGAACTAGTGAAACATAATCAGTGATTATGAAAAAAGTACAATAGATATCAAGAAGCAGTTTTTTTCATAAAATAGTTGAGACTTGTGTGAACATTTGAAAGTTTAAATGGTGTCTGTAGCTGAAAGATTTGCGAAGCTGAAAAATCTGAAAGTTGAAGAAGTTTAAGGAGGATTTGAAAACAAACTCCATTTGAAAACCATGTTAAAATATTAATGATTATTGATTTATATAAATTCAAGCTTAAGAGGTAGAAAGCTGAACATACATAGCCCTCAAGCCAGAAAGGAGCTGAACATTTTAATATTTGAACGGTTTTAATAGCTGAAAGTGTGAAGGAGTTGAAAGGTGCCACGGAAGAAATATAATAAGTTGAATAAAGATTCGAAGAACAATACTTGAAATGCTTAAAGCATTCCAACTAATGAACAACGTAGCACACAGGTGAGTGGGACTAGTAAGAAGGTCTGAGGGCATCTAGTGGATGGTTTGTGGTTAGCAGGTCTAGGGAGGGAGAGGAGGGTCCGTGGCCTGGAGTTAGTGAACCTGAGCTGCAGATCAGCAGAGCGGCACAAAGCGCAAGGCCAGGCAACCAGGACCCTTCTGTCAAGGGACGGGACCCAGATGCCCCTCCAGGGACCCCGAGGAAGATATTGAAGGAGACATGTGGAGCAAATGTATCCAAGCAAGTCTACCAGCAGACTGGGCCTATAACATCTGCTTAAGCTGCCTATACCAGCATAGTAAGGTCTGGTCCGCGGAAAGCCCGAGATAATACAATAATACATATAGCCAACCTGAGATTGGTTCCCAAAACCGTGTTGGTTCCTCCACTAACTATAAATATTCTACATTTTACTGGGAACAAACAGAAATCTATTACAGGAGTAATGTGATCTCTTTTCTTAGTTGTTGTTAGTAGTGCTGCAGCATTCCGGAATTACAGTATACTGTAATTAGCTATTGAACTAATCACCACCAACACAGTGAAGTAAATGGATGGTGTGTAAATGTGTAAATGTATTACTTCTTTTTTGACAGGATGACTAACGCTGCATCGAAATATAAAGATATCATCTCAAAAAGTTATGAGATCAAAAAAGGATCTCCTACAATCTACCAGTTGGGACTAACGAAAGAGAACATTGGAACTCTGAAAAGAAGGAGTCTTGGTGTAAAGAATCCCAACAAGGTAAACAAAACCATCTTGCTTGTTGGTGAAACGGGAACAGGAAAGTCTACTCTGGTCAACGCTCTGGTGAACTTCGCCATGGGAGTGAAGTGGGAGGATGATGTCTGGTTTCAGATCGTAGAGGACGAGAAGAAAGACCAATCACAGAGTCAGACGTCAGATGTGGTCGTATACGAGATCTTTGGACTTGAGGATAAAACTCTGCCCCACTCTCTGACCATCATCGACACTCCTGGATTCGGATGCACAGAAGAGATTGAACACGATGAAATAGTCAGTCAAAGGTTATTTGACTTGTTCCGCTCAGTGGGTGGAGTTCACGAGATCAATGCGGTGGGTCTGGTGCTGAAAGCAACCGAGAATCGACTGAGTGACCGACTTTCATACATACTTAATTCGGTGTTGTCTCTATTTGGAAAAGATCTAGAGCATAACATCATTGCCCTCCTCACACACTCAACTGGAAGGGTTCCTTATAATGCTCTGGCTGCCCTCGATGCTGCAAAGATTAAGTGTGCCAGAAATGACAGGAACCAGCCTGTCCACTTCCTGTTTGATAGCTGCCAAAACGATCCCAGGACGGAGGACGACACGGGTCTTAAAGATGCATATAACAAAGCTATGCATGAAATGGAGCGGTTCATAACCCTTCTGCAAAATTATGCACCTCAAAAGTTGGAGACAACCGTTGATGTTCTGAATGAACGGATCAGACTGACAGCCTGCATCCAGAACCTGCAGGAGAGAATCCAGTGTATGGAACTCAAACAGAAGGAAATCCAGCAGACTCAAGAAGCTCTGAAGCAAAATAAAGAAAGGATGAAGAAGTCTTTAGAAGTGTCCACTATAGAAGTTGATGAGCCATACAAAGATAAAGAGCCTATAGAAAGTGGAATGCGGTTTTTGTTCTTCTATGAAGGAGCTGTCACCTGCAAAGTCTGTGAGGAGAACTGTCACTATCCTGGATGCACCATGTCCCACAATCCTTCACTCTGTGAGGTCATGAAAGAAGGCCGCTGCACCTCATGTACCAACAAGTGCCCTGTAGCAGACCACGTTAAAGAAGGCTACAGGTATGTGACCAAGACCAGAAAGGTTAAAAAATCTCTGCAAGATGTGAAAAAGAAAAATGAAGAAGGGACGACGTCTTTTGAAGGGTTCACTATAGAAGTTGATGAGCCATACAAAGATAAAGAGCCTATAAAAAGTGGAATGTGGGGTTTGTTATTCTATGAAGGAGCTGTCACCTGCAAAGTCTGTGAGGAGAACTGTCACTATCCTGGATGCACCATGTCCCACAAGCCTTCACACTGTGAGGTTATGAAAGGAGGCCGCTGCACCTCATGTACCAACAAGTGCCCTGTAGCAGACCACGTTAAAGAAGGCTACAGGTATGTGACCAAGACCAGAAAGGTTAAAAAAACTCTGGAAGATGTGAAGAAGAAATATGAAGAGAATAAAGCACAGAATGAGAAGAGCCTGGACATTTTGGAAAGTCTTGAAAAAGAGATGGAAACTCTTGAGGCACTCAAAACAAAAACCCTGTATGAGGCCTACGACCACGTGGTCAGACTGGACCAGATCGCCCTGAGTGTTGTTTCAGTCTCCACTTACGTCCACCTGGACTTCCTGATCGAGGAGATGGAGAAGAAAGGGGACACCAAGAATGCCCAGAAGCTGAAAGAGATGTCAGGTAGAAAAAATAAAAGAGATATCGCAGCGATAAAGTACCTGTATCGTAAATATGTCAGCAGCAAGTAAAATGATGAGAGCCACTGACGTCCAGACTGACGATGCATCAGACCGGCTCATACTGGCCGTCATACAACGTTAAGCGACCCTTTGGACGCCAATGAAGTGTGACGTTTGTTTGGATTTTCATTTTTACGCTATTCTACATGTCTCTCCAGTTAAACAAACCTTTTTGATCACCTTCACGCCCGTCTGATACCTACACGCACGCTTTCCTGTTTCTTTCCTGATGAAGCGCCGAATTTCTTTCCTTCAAAAAGGAAGCACAGATTTGATGAAGACGTCCTCCTAGTCTGGACTATCACTTGGAGACACAAAGCTCCTAAATAATAAAATAAAATAAATATCACCTTTGGGATGTAATTGTAGAACAAATCCGTGTTTTGGGAATAATTGTTGGTGCAACCAAACTCGTTTAAAGAAGACATTTAAAGGTGTGTTCCATCTTCTGGTTTTTATGCAGTTTTCACAAAAAGGGGCGTAGCCATGTGAGCACAATGTGCACAAATGTTCTGGATTCACCTGCCCATCACCTATCTGGGTTAGTTTACCATGAATATTGATGCAATCTTTGCTGCCGGGCTTCATCACAGTTACGGCTGTTACGATATCAATATATTTGGGTGACATTTTAGCTTAGTTAGCGTAGTGGGTTCACTGCTTCTCTTCACCTGTCCGTGTCGCTCTGTGTCAGTGGCGTGCTGCATAAGCCCCGCCCCCTTTCCACTAGGAAAAGGGACAGAGGATCAACTTAAATGTTGGTGGCGTTCATTTAGATGTAAAATGAATATCGCAGCAGCAAAAATTATTGCACGCGATTTCAGAGAGCGATATGTGTTTTTATCGCATATTGAGACGGGCTTAATCACAGTTTATAAAATCTCAAATATAAAACTATATAATCTGTAATCATCTGCAAATGTACGAATATGTAAACATTACATTGCTTGATTGGTTTATCAGGCCGTTCCACAGAGACTTCTCTCCTCGCTGTCTCAGAGCAGCTCCACACTGCTAGAGCTCCTCTCTGTCCTCTGTCCTCGTCCATCTGGACGTCTCTGCTGCATTTGACACAGTCAACCAGCAGATCCTCATCTCCTCCTTTCAGGAACTTGGTGTCACAGGCTCTGCTCTCTCCCTTCTCTCGTCCTACCTCGATGGCCACACCTACCGGGTAACCTGGCGAGGATCTGTGTCGGAACCTTGTCCTCTTACTACGGGAGTTCCTCAGGGTTCCGCCCTGGGTCCCCTCCTCTTCTCGCTCTACACCAACTCTCTCGGCGCTGTCATTCGCTCGCATGGCTTCTCTTACCACAGCGATGCTGATGATACACAACTAATTCTCTCCTTCCCTCACTCGGATCTCTGCCTGTCTGACGGACATCTCTCAGTGGATCCGCCCACCATCTGAAAATCAACCCCGACAGACTGAACTACTTCTCCTTATGTGAGAAGATTCTCCTTCACAGGACCTGACGGTTAACTTTGAGACTCCGTGTTAACGTCCACTTTGACTGCAGGAACCTCGGCGTGACATCGAGAGCCGACTCTCCCTGACTCCAACATCACTGACAACACCATCCTGTAGATACTCGCTCTACAACATCAGGAGAACACGTCCTCTTCTCACTCAGAAGGTACTGATTCAGGCTCTGGTCGTCTCCCTCCTGGACTACTGCAACTCTCTCCTGCAGGTCTCCTGCTACCACCATTCCACCTCTGCAGCTCATCCAGAATGCAGCAGCTCCACTGGTCTTCAACCTTCCTAAGTTCTCCCTCACTCCTCCACTCCTCCGCTCTCTTCACTGGTACCGGTGGCTCATCCAGTTCTAACCATGGTGCTCAGGTACCAGGCTGTGAATGGATGGGTTCCAGCTTACATCCAGGACCTGGTCCAACCCGACACCCCGACCCGCACTCTCCGCTCTGCATGTGATAATCTGCTTGTTCCTCCTCACTGAGAGCAAAACACTCGACTAGATCTCCACTCTTTGCTGTCCTGCTCCTACATGGTGGAAGGAGGTCTCTGAAGACATCTCTGATATCCTTATGGTTGAAAAGCACTTATTGGATAAAGGCGTCAGATAAATGACATGTAATGCATAAAGTTCAATGAATTAGTGTTGGTTAATTGATTAAGCATATTTGACCTAAAATTGAATAATCTTACAGAGTCTAGATGTGTTACTTGTAGTAAGTACAGTGCCTGTTAGTGACCAACAAGAGGACGTTTAGTCTGTGGATTACATTTGGAAAAGAAAAACCCTTCCAGTGATGAGGTTGACACTGTCAAACTTACTTACTGTTGCAGCTTAGTGAGTGTTCCTTAACTGACAGGAGGTTGTGCACTCACGGTGTATGTGTGTGTTAAATCTCCAAAGATGATCATCTATATGTGAAAGTCACCCTGCCCCCCTGTTTATCTGTCTTCTATTTAGACATTTGAGTAGCTGTGACGATGACTTGTATGTGTGTCAATGTGTTTCCTGACTGCAAACATCAATAACTGTCTCACTGTGTGTTACATGGCCGATGGTGTGGTGTTCTGTTGGGTGATGGGGGGGGGATAGATTTCCTATTGAGATGTGATCTAACATCAAGTTTCTCCACTGTGCGATATGCGCCATTCCTTGATGTACAGTAGTTAGAAACAGCTTTGCTTTTATCCACTATGTCTGGTAGATTACCAGTAAAAATCTTCATTTTCTCAGTCAATGTGCAGCAGTGTGAAGCCCCTCCCAATGCTCACAGCTGGTGCACTTTATTTTTATCTTTTTAACTTTTACCTTTTATTCCTTTATTTATAAACTAAACCATCACCTTATATTACTAACCCATAGCATTATATATATATTTTAAATTGTATTCCTTTTGCGTCCATTGTCGTACTGTCTGCTGCCACGCACCAACCGCCAAGTTATATTATGGCAATAATATAACTTGTATTATGGCAATAATATAACTTGTTATCCAAGTTATATTATTGCCATAATATAACTTGTGAACCACCATCCACAGAAGGTGGATGGTGGTTCTATGTGATGGTGGTTGCCCCTGCAGTGGTCCTGCTGTGCGCCTGGCTTACTTCTCACAATTACTTGAATCATTTCTGTCATAGGAATTACATGTATTATACATTGTTCATTCTGTACACATGGCATCCATTGTAGTCTGTCCATCCCGGGAGTGGGATCCTCCTCTGACGTTCTCCCTAAGGTTTCTTCCCTTTTTTCCCTCTTGTAAGGTTTTTTTTCATTTTTTGGGGAGTTTTTCCTGTGCAGGTGGTGGGTTTTGGGACAGAGGATGTTGTATGTGTACAGACTGTAAAGCCCTCTGAGGCAAATTTGTAATTTGCGATTTTGGGCTCTACAAAATAAAATGACTTGACTTGACTTGACAATAAATGTTCCTGATTCCTGATTTCTGATGATTAAATCCTTGTCAGAGGTGGATGGGTTGCTTAGTTAACCCATTTCCATTGTGGGTGTGTCACAGATATAAATATGTCTACTTCCATATAAGGAGATACTGTGTAGATATGGTAGAGTCTGAAGAGGTGTGTCTTTAGTTTGAGGCGGATGATGTGAAGACTCTGCGGTCCTGTGGGCGTGTCACCACACACACACATGCGCAGGGTTGTCTTCTGATTGGACAGCACAAACCTCTCTGATGTGCATCGAAGCTTCTCCTACACCATGAAGGTTGGTCAGATCGTCCTGCTCCTCTGAAAGGGGAACAATCTGTCCCTTTTCAGGTGAATTCAGTCATTTCACTTCTGTCTGTACTTACAACTTGTGTTGATGATTTCTGTATTCTTTTAGTAATAAATACTTAATCACAAACGCGTTTAAGATACTTTTGATTTCTCACAAGGGCTTAATCCATGAATTTCCACTACAAATAGCAGCATAAATACTAGTACTTTTTGTTATAGTAACGTGACCCGGTGATAACGCACAAGAGACAAGATAAACTGAGGCAAAGACGATTGGGAGCAGCGTTGGAGCCGGTGACACCAACAGACTTAACTAACGTGTTAAGAAGGCCGGCTCCATCGTTGGCTGCAAACAGGACGGCTTGGAGAAGGTGTTGGAGGGGAGGTCACTGAAGAAACTGTTATCCATGTTGGATCATCCTGACCACCTGCTGCAGGGACAGCGGAGCACGTTCTCCATCAGACTCCTTCAGCTCCGCTGTCACAAGGACCGATACAGGAGGTCGTTCCTGCCCAGTGCAACAACACTCTACAATAAACCATCCCAGGCTAAATAATGACATAATAACCCTGCTGAAACAATAAGGAAACCTTCAAAAGAATAAAAAGATTAAATACTGTTCACTTCAAATATCTCTAACAAACAAAACCAACAAAGACATCAGACCATGTGGGACTAACTTGTAATATTCGGGAGGTCAGTGTAAAGGTTTTAACCTTTACCTTTTTATGCAGCTTCCCCTAAAAGGGGCGTGCACAAACGTTCTGTATTCATCTGCCCATCACCTACCTGCGTCAGTTTACATGAATATTGGTGTGATCTTTGCTGCCGGGCTTCAAAACAGTTGTCGTTTTTGAACCAAAATTTCTTCAATAAACAAGTTTATTTGTTACATAAAACGTTTCTTTAGCGGCTAGAGATTTAAACTTCATAAGTCACTTTTAGATCGGCACCATAAGGGAACACGTGGTAGTGTTTTACTAGGATGAAGGTGTGGTTGCTAGATGAACCACAACCACAATATTGATAGAGAGTCTTTGTGATGAACCTGGGGACAGACACCTCTACTAATTCCTCAAACCGCCATTCTGTTTCTATGTAATAGCCAATAGGAGAGTTACATCCGACCATTGCATCATCCTGGTCCTTATGATGGAGGTGTTGGTGGTCCAGACCAGTGTGAGAAGATGACTCTCCCAGATGTTCACACTGGTTCGTCCCAGAGGTTCACTTACTAGTGTTGTTAAACGTGCATTGTGTGCGCGTTGGAACAGATGGAAATATCTAGTGTGATATATTTAGGCAGATGCTGTCTTTTACACGAGTACATTCAATAAATAGTGCACCACTGCTACTCCTGAGAGTTCCTAAGCAAATAACCAAAGCGATGAGAGAATGTTGAAGGGTACAGCTGGTTAGGGTGACGTAGCAGTGGGTGGTGTTAAACTGTTTTCCACTGTAGCGCGTGTTTAGATGGATGGATGATGTGACAAAATGAAGGAAGATGATTTGAAAATGCGTCCAAGAGCAACATAATGCAGCAGTAATACTTTTATTGATCAACCAATACTTATATTTGAACTACTTAGACGGATGCTAAGCTAACTCAGTCTGATGCTGCTGACTGAGCTAGCATTAGCGGGCCACGCTGTTCTCTATGGAGACGGGGTCCAGGTAGCCGTAGGGCAGCGGCAGGTCGACGTTCCTCGCTCTGATGTCACAGCTGAGACGCTTCAGGTCGTCGCTAAAACGCGCCGCCGTCTCCATGGGAACGCTCTCCGTGAAGTGCTGCTCCGCCGAGCCGCCCAGAGGAACCCCAGAGGAACCCCAGAGGAACAATATATTATACATGTGTGATTCTGAAGGAAACACGCGTAAATACAGGTGTCATTTTTCAGGTCAAACTGCTTTTTTAAGGCTTTGCTTTTAAAGAACCGAGCCAAACGGTTCAACATATGTTCAAACAACGATGAACAGGAAATTACTTTATCTGGACTCAGTCGCCGTATACGTCTCTTGTATTTACCTGTCAATCATCGTGCAGCCCCGCCCTAAAGAATCCCCTGCTTCATGGTCTAAATGGACCATAATCCACCAAAGGAACATCTGTATTGAAGTTCTAGTTGAAACCAGAGACTGACCCAATCAGGGTGATGAGCGCGTGTAAATCAAACATCGAGAGATTTGCTCGCTCGCGGAGCGTGAACTTCCTCGCGAGGTGAGTCTCTGCTCGCGCTGGAAGGTGTTTTCTACACGCTGACTGTTGTTCTTTTTGACAGTAAGGGGGCGTAGCCAGTCGCCAGGGGGCGGAGTGAATGTGATATACAAGACATACGCAGGCTCCTCCATAGTTCGGTAAAGTTGGCAAGATATTCAGATTCAGACTGACGGACCGGTCTGCGAGCTGGACGCGTTGTCAAACATGTTTTATGAACAATGTTAAAAGAACTAGAGGAGATTGTTCTTAATAAAACAGCAGGTGAGCAGCCGCCCACCAGGGTATCAATAAATATAAATATATATATATATATATATATATATATATATATATATATATATATATGTTAGGTCGTAGGAACCACGAACCCTGCTGATTACACCAGAGAACAGTCACAGCACGAGAAACAAAAAAACCACTGAGTCGACTTGTAAGTTTTACTTGCTGCAAGGGGAGCCCGGTCAAGAATCTTAGAGTACTGGACTCCCGATCGCAGCCAACTACCACTAGACTTCCCCATGCAGTCTCCTTTTATTGAGCTATGTAAGCCGACACTTGTTTGTTAAAAGGGTCAGTAGTACAACAGTAGTAGCAAAAGGCATTGTACACCAAACTGAATACGTCGACTCAAGGTTTAAAACAGCTTATAGCGGCTTATATGTCACTGGGTGGACGATTGGGGACAATTGATTGCATATTTTATTGATTGCATGTTTTATTGATTTATTATTTTATGATTGAATGTTTTTATGACTTGTTGTTTTGTGATTGCATGTTGGACAATTTATACTCTGCTTTGAGTTTTGTTTGAGTTGTGTCCTCAATTGACAATCGTCCCCAACTAATTAGCAATTAGTGGCAAATGGACCAATGGGGAAAGGCCAGGGGCAGAACTTTCTCTTTTTAAGCAGGAAGACCGAACACTGGCACTGGAGAAACAAGGAAAAACTGGAAAGGAGAGCTGGGGAGAAACAAGGAGAACCGAGAGAAGGGAGAAGGGAGAAGGGAGAAGGGAGAAGGAGCAAGGAAAGAAAGGCAGAAGCAGAGGTACCACCACCAGCACCACCAGAAGCAGCAGCAGCAGCAGCAGCAGCAGCAGGCGACTGGCAGTCAGACGTCCACACCAGTGGACCAGGGACGCGCAGGACTTCGCTCCTGCTGTGGTGATGACCCTGGACGGACTATTTTAGCTCCCTTTTATATATTTTAATCTTTGTATTAAAATAAATATTTTTTAGTCGTATTTCCGCCCCTGTCTCCTCTTGGGTCATTGTTTTACTGCTCCCCTCCAAACAAACGAACCTTTGTTTTTAATTATTTAGAGTTCCTAGGGCTTTTACCAAGGTGGCGGTGTTGACAACACTTTTAGTTTTTAAGAAGAAGCCTCGGCCGCTGACATATACACAACAAAAACTATCAAAAAGCTGCAGCAGACTAAGACGTGAGGAGATTATACTCAAGACGCGTCACACTGAAGTATTTTATCATCATGTTTTACTCCGTTTCACCAGCAGAAACACGCCAATCACTTACTCGATAGATGCCTTTCATCGGTCAAGAGAGGATCAACAGCGCATAAAACTTCGTAGTGACAATAATTACTCGGTGACGGTGACGGTCAATAGAAAGTTTGTTCCCCGTTCTCACCCTGCAGCTGCAAACAACCCGCCGAGCCCCACAGGTGACCAGACACGCTACTACACACAGCAAACCCCCTTATGGTGTCGTAAATACAAATGACGTCACACCACACGCGCACACACCAACAATGTAGAAGGAAAGAAGAAATAATACAAAAGAATAATCAAAGCCAATGTGTGGCTCCTACACAGCTTACACAGGTGAATGTATGTGTGTGAGAGAGATAACGTATGTGTGTCTGGACTTTCCTCCCATACATTGAGTTGCCCCTCAGTTTGGTGCAGAAAATACAGTTGAGTCCACCGTTTCCTATTTTAATGCAACCAACCCAGGACAATGGAACAGTATATTACTTAATGATAACAGCACAATAAGTGGTATTCTCTAACAGCGGGTTCATATAAACAAACTTTTTTGAAAACGGAGGGGCAGAAATATTTGTTTCTGTGAATACCCGGCCATGTGTAAATCGTCGTCGTGGCGCAGGGGTTAGAGAAGGTGTGCTGGGAAGCATAAGGTTGGTGGTTCGAGTCCAGGCTGCCCCATGTTCCATGTCGAAGTGCCCCTGAGCAAGACACCTGACCTCTAATTGCTCCCCAGGCAAACAATGTGAAAAAGCCACATGTTTAAAGTGTGATGTAAGTCGCTTAGGATAAAAGCGTCTGCTAAATGACCTGTAATGTAATGTAAATATTTCCTGTGTGTGTGTGTGTGTGTGTGTGTGTGTGTGTGTGTATAATACATACACACATTTTCACACGAGGATTGCGCTTGGCTTTTATTTTGAAGTAACCACAGGAAGAATAGCCACTTCCTGTACAGATGGTGAATGAAATACTGCATTATTATTAGAAGTACTATGACCTAGTTAAGCCGCATGTCTACAGTACCTTTAGTAGTACTTCTAACAGTATTGTGTGTATTCTAACGGATACAGCTGAGCTCTTCTGGTGAAACGTCAGCTCATTGAAACACGTGGAGACTGAACAGCCAATCACAGGAGAGCACGCTGGATCTCCATAGCAACCAGGATTGTTTGATGTTTGTTTCCATCTGAAGAGAAGAAGCTTCAAAGTGTCGGTGAGTCGAACGATTATTACACAACGTGTTTGTTTATTGATAATTATTGATGTTCATTGATCATTCAGCCTGTTATGAGTTATATTCTCTGATTTATTATGATTTACATTACTGAAATATTTTCCACATACAACACTATGACCTTTGTGTGGGTGTGTGTGCGGCCATGTGCGTGCGTGTATGCATGTGTGTGTGCGTGTGTGTGTGCGTGTGTGCGTGTATGTGTGTGTGCGTGTGTGTGTGTGTGCGTGTGTGCGTGTGTGTGTGTGTGCGTGTGTGTGTGTGTGCGTGCGTGTGCGTGTATGTGTATGTGTGTGTGCGTGTGTGTGCGTTTGTGTGTGTGCGTGTGTGTGTGTGCGTGTGTGCGTGCATGTGTGTGTCTGTGTGTGCGTATGGGGGGGGCAGCGATGGCGGGGACGTCGAGACACGACCGAGAGATGTCCCTGGAGGCGAAGCGGCAGCTGTCGGTGACCTCTGACCCGGTGGAGCGGCTGCGGCTCCAGTGTCTGTGCAGAGGGTCGTCAGGTATCAAAGGGCTGGGCAGGTAAGCTCCTCCCACTTCCTGTCTGCATTAACACTATATATTTTTGGACATCATACAGCATGAAATACTAAATATGCTCATGTTCTATTCTCTGATTCATTATGATTCACATTACTGAAATATTTCCCACACACAACACTATGACCTATGACCTTCATGACATCTCACAAAAACACCCTGTTGCCCGGCAACCATTGGCTCTCTAGCCGGGGCCATAACGAAGCCCCAGGCGCCTGAAGCTGTCAAAGGGAGTCGATGACGCACGGCTGCTCCCCCGACACACCGACGCCGCCGGGGGTTCTGGTGTTCACTTTGTTGTCACATCGTTGTGTTGCTGCACAAGTTGTGTTTGGTCGTCTGTAGCTGCTCATGAAGAGTCTCCTCACAACGACACAACGTCCGCTCATACGCCAAAGTGCATTCAGTAAAGCAATGAAAAAACTATAAATACATAAACTCTCCCGCAGATACCTACTTCCTTCGTTAATCACGTTGATGTAACACAATAGCAAGACACCCTGATTGCTCCCTGGGCAAAAAGGTAAAGAAGGGTCAGGGTTAAAAATGTAATGTAAGTCGCATTGGATAAAAGTGTCGGCTAAATGACCTGTAATGTGATGTAATAACCTCTTAACCCTCTTCCATTTTTTAGGCACTGCTCAGAATTGACATACCCATGTTTAAAATAGTATATCTCTGCAACCACAAGGTCTATTTGAATCATTTGTGTGTGATGTAATAGAAGGGAACACCTATGAGATTTGTTCACATGTGTAAATATGAATGTATGTCTTACTGGTTAAAAGTAAATGAAAATAGCACACAGCAGAAATAAAAACAAGTTTCCGGTTGTTTACCACTTTGGATGATGTATTTGCAGCTTTAAACCTCTCCCAGATAATAGCTCCTTACGAGGACATTCTCTCTGTAAAGTCTAACTTTGATTAAGTGAAGCAGAAGAAAATTAGGGAGTAGAGGATGTAACAGCTCCAATCAAATAATACAAGCACATAATAAAGAGTAGCACAACATCATCATCACCACTTTGAATACAGAGATCTCACATTCTGCCGAACACACAACATACAACATACAAACGTTTGTGTTGGTCAGAACCTTTAAGATAATGGATGACGACAGCAACCGCTCGCTGGACCTGAAGGAGTTCCTGAAGGGTCTGAATGACTACGGGATCCCGATGGAGAAGCAGGAGGCCACGGCTCTCTTCCAGCTCTTCGACCGCGATCGCAACGGGACCATCGACTTCGACGAGTTCCTGGTGACTCTGAGGGTAAGAACTCGGATACCAGGTGACCGACGGGCGGCTTTCGGCTCCTCAACGTCCATCTTCTGCGTCCTCAGCCGCAGATGTCCAAAGCCAGGAAGGAGGTGGTCATGGAGGCCTTCCGGAAGCTGGATAAGACGTCGGACGGGGTGATCACCATTGAGGACCTGCGGGGGGTCTACAACGCCCAGTACCACCCCAAGTACCGCAACGGGGAGTGGACCGAGGACCAGGTCTTCAGGAAGTTCCTGGACAGCTTTGACTCTCCGTACGACAAAGATGGAAAGGTACCTGTCATCAGGGGATCAGAGGGAGGAGCTGCTGAAGGTCATCTCCTACCCTTCAGGTGGAGTTCATGAATCATCACGCTGGTGGAGGGAGGAGAACGACTTTACTTCCATTGTGGTGAAGCAGCTCCGGAGGCCAATGTTCATTTCATGGTGTTCTCTGGTTAATCTGGAGCTTTTCTGCAGAGATTATTGTTTGGTTGATTCCTCTGAAACAAGTAACCATCTCTCCTCTCATCAACAGGTGACCAAAGAAGAGTTTGTTAACTATTACTGCGGCGTCAGCGCCTCCATCGACAGCGACGCGTACTTCATCCTGATGATGACCAACGCCTGGAAGCTCTGAGCACATGAAGCGTCTTCATGGAGACAAACGTGGTGAATCTTCTTCATGTGGAGCTCAGATACTCTCCAGCTGTAATAAACTCTCTGCTTTTAAGAAATCATTCCTCTGAATTATTGCCGTGTTTTAAACAGTAACTTTCTGCAGCTTGTTGTAAGAAGTGGGGCGTTGTGGTGCAGGAGTAGAGACGGAGCGCTGGGAACCGCAAGGTTGGTGGTTTGAGCCCCGGCTGCCTCATGTCCCTGAGCAAGACACCTGACCCCTAATTGCTAAAACGCCACGGGTAAAACTGTGATGTACGTCGCGTTGGATAAAAGCGTCAGCTGAATGACCTGTGATGTAAGAAGATGAACATGTGTTGTAGTTAAAAAAATCAGGGTTCTTAACTATTTAACTTTATTGTTTGTTAAAATAAACCCATTGATTAAGTCTAGTTTTCATACGGTACTTTTAGCAGCTACACGTGAACATGTTGTGGTTGTGTTGTTGTGTCGTTCTCTCACTTCCTGTGTGGTTCGGCTGCTTGGCAGCAGCAGTGAGTTCTGAGCAGCTTCGTCTCGCAGGACGTCGCTGGTGTTCATGACTGTTTGTTACACAAACGAAAGAGAAACACATGAACACATGAAACCGATCGTATCAAGACTTTCTGGCTTAAGAGCGACTCTCACATTGAGGAATGCTAGAAGCCTCTAAGGTCATGACCCCTCTGTTCGTTCAGCTCGTTCATGAACCTTCTACCTGCAGAATCTGATGTTTACTGGACAAGATCTACGTATCAGAAGCCTTCTGCTTCCTGAAGTTTTATTCAACCACTTTGCTAGAATGCAGGTAAGTGAGCGAGGAGGTTGTGAGGCTCCTCAAGGTTCTAAAGGTTCGTTACAAGGTTCTAAGGGTCATGTAGGAGGTTGTGAGGCTCCTCAAGGTTCTAAAGGTTCGTTACAAGGTTCTAAGGGTCATGTAGGAGGTTGTGAGGCTCCTTATTGTTCTAAAGGTTTGTTACAAAGTTCTATCAGTCATGTAGGAGGTTGTGAGGCTCCTTCCTATGGTTCTAGTCAAGTCAAGTCATTTTATTTTGTATAGCCCATAATCGCAAATTACAAATTTGCCTCAGAGGGCTTTACAGTCTGTACACATACATCATCCTCTGCCCCGAAACCCTCCATCGGTACAGGAAACACTCCCCAACAAATGAAAAAACCCTTACAAGAGGGAAACAAGGGAAGAAACCTTAGGGAGAACGTCAGAGGAGGGATCCCACTCCCGTGATGGACAGACTACAATGGATGCCATGTGTACAGAATGAACAATGTATAATACATGCAATTCCTATGAGAGGTCTGGAGGCTAGAGGTCTGTTGTTCTCATAGTCATAGATTAAGGTAGATATATCACAGAGGAGAAGTTTGATGGTCACTTTTATCAGATATATCTTTATAACATTTAGAGTTTGAACTGTGATTTGTTTTTAGTTTGTTTAGGAGGTTCTACTCGTCCTTTGAGTGGTTGTTGTGGTTTTCAGGATGATTGAGGAGATTCTAGGGTCAGTATACAATGAGACATGAAGGAAACATACTTTATATAATCAGACAGCATCAAAACCACACAATACACAAAAAGCTACTTTTCACAAACTGCTACATGTTACATTCGGGTCACAATCCTCCACTTTTACACTGAGACGTGACAGTAAAAGATATTAAAGAGATACTGGACATTGAAGATGGGGTCATTTAAAACGATTTAAAAGGAGCTTTGACTGTCCGGTGAAGAAGCCATTGAGGTTTATTGTCTGGACCAATTTTCAAGTCAACGTCACGTAGGACGGAGTGAAGCACCTCTGCACAAAGCTGATGTTTGAGGCAGATCCAAGTGGTGGGTGGAGTAACGAGAGGGATCGCTGCTCTCTCACGTTTTTTGGTTTAAGACCTTATTGTTGATCTTGGGCCTTGTGAGGTCGTGACCTCTGTGTTGGACGCCAAACCTTCAGAGCCTCTGACGTGATCCTCCTCCTGACTTACTTGATCTGATAGAAACTGGACATGGTGACGTAGGCCTCGGCCTCCTTTACCCCACCACTGCACGAGGGAGGTCTCTCCCCGGGCCGGAGGTCCTGGAAGGGGGAGGGGCTGGCGCTCTGGAGGCTCTCCTCTCCGTCCAAGGAGCTCCTGCTCAGCAAGGTGGAGAGCTCCAGCTCCTCGGTGCTGACGCTGGTGGTGCTCATGCAGCCGTCGGAGGTCTGGGTGGAGCAGCTCGGCTTCATCGGAGGCTCCGCTTCTTCCCACGACTGCTTCTCTGCTTTCTCTACGTCGAGGGCGCTGAACTCCTCGGGTTTGAAGTTCAACAGGAGGCCCTGGCACCACAGAAGCATCGTCTTAGTCATCAAGCAGCAGCAACACGTCTGATCTCAGACGGCAGAACACGGATTGTTAATTACGAAGGCGTTGTCATGGAAACGTAGCACCTAGCACCATTGCTATTGCTGGCTTGATTAGCTCGTTGAGCACCGCTAGCTTGTAGATGTTCAGCTGTTGGCGTTGGAGGGGCAGTGGGCCGGCCCCTGATCCTCATCCTGCACCTTTACAGGAGGAAACCTCACAGAAACGCTACCGACTGGTTTCATTCGGCCGACACACTTGTGATTCCCGCCACTAGAGGGCGCCATCACGCAACCGGCATTGGGCTTTTAGGTGGAAGTAGGAGGACTCACTTTGTTCATCTTGCAGATGTGCACCAGCGTGTCTTTGGGGTGGGGGATGCTCGGCCACATGTAGGTAAATATTCTGTGAAGGAAACAGCAGGTGTAAAAACCAACGAAGCCCTTCAGACGCGGATCTTCTGACGAGGAAGCAGAAACCTACTTGTTCCTGCAGAATAAAGCAACACTGGAAGGCACCGCCACCAGAATGACGAGACACACGATCAGCCCGTTGGTCTCCGGTCCTCCAGACGTCTGATTCTGGGACTTTTCTTCTGGAGACAAAGAGAGAAGAAGACGAAGCCCAGCAGTTATTAAAATCCCTTCTATGGAACCGTTTATGGTCAAAGTACCAAAATACCAACAAATACGGAAACAGTAGAATGCAAATGAAATGCTGACTGATTGAAGGAGCAGAGAGCATCGTTTGTTAGAACTTTTAGACTTTTTCATATTAAGGGAACAGTGCAAAACATGAACGTGCTTTTCTAATAAGAACATTAGCGAAGAAGACTTCTTAGAGATGGTTGGTAGGACGTCTCACTCAGGTCAGTTATACGATACATTCAACATGTGCTCCACCCGACGGAGGAGAAGCCAGGTAAATCGGAGTCTGTTGGTCTGATTCTCACCAGCTGGACTGAAGAAGCTGAAGGTTCCACTCCACCTGCTCCAGGAGCCCTGCAGCCCGTTGGTCGGGACGGCCCTCGCCCTCACGTGGTACTCGGCGTGCGGCCGCAGGTTCTGGACGTCCATCCTCAGAGAGTCCGACGAGACGTTCTGAGTCTGCGGTAAAGCGGGAGACACGAGTCAGTTGCTGCAGAGCGTCGGCAGGTGGAGACGAGGAGCGAGGCGATGGAGATGACGTCACCGTCGAGCTGCCAGCGCTCCAGATGTGCAGCTGGAAGAGTTGGTTGTCTACTTTGAGGTACTCGTTGACGTAGGGGGTCTGGAGGCGGATCACGACCTGGTGAGAGTCCTCGTCGAAGGTCACGTCCTTCACCTGAGGACTTCTTGGCTGAACTGCAGAGACACAAGAGCACTGTCAGTCAACAGGAAGTGACCATATCAGGACTGAGGAGGACGTTAAGATGCTGTCTATTTAGTCCCGCCCTAAAGCTGCTTCGTGGTCTGTTTGACTCTAAATGGACCATAATTCACTAAATGAACATCATCTGTATTGAAGAAGACTTGAAACTAGAGACTGAGACATAAACTCATGTTTACAATGTTTACTGAGGGAATAAATCAAGAGAGAAGTAGAGTCATTTCCTCATAGACGTCTATGGGAGCAGAGGAGTTGCCCCCTGCTGGTCACTACAGAGAAGTAGAGTCATTTCCTCATAGACGTCTATGGGAGCAGAGGAGTCGCCCCCTGCTGGTCACTACAGAGAAGTAGAGTCATTTCCTCATAGACGTCTATGGGAGCAGAGGAGTCGCCCCCTGCTGGTCACTACAGAGAAGTAGAGTCATTTCCTCATAGACGTCTATGGGAGCAGAGGAGTCGCCCCCTGCTGGTCACTACAGAGAAGTAGAGTCATTTCCTCATAGACGTCTATGGGAGCAGAGGAGTCGCCCCCTGCTGGTCACTACAGAGAAGTAGAGTCATTTCCTCATAGACGTCTATGGGAGCAGAGGAGTCGCCCCCTGCTGGTCACTACAGAGAAGTAGAGTCATTTCCTCATAGACGTCTATGGGAGCAGAGGAGTCGCCCCCTGCTGGTCACTACACAGAATGCAGCTTTAACTCATGGAGCTTTAGCTTCACATTAAAGAAGTGGAGGTTTCCTCGCGGTGAAATGAAGCCTGACTCTCTCCTGTACTTTGGTGTGTTCAGTTCAGATTCTCTTCATGAGGGACTTACTGATCTTCTGCAGGTCCACCGTGGTCGTGATGCGGCCTCCTCTCTTCAGGTGGACGGTGACGTTCAGCTGAAGGATGGGGTGCAGGTCCCCGGAGCTGAAGGTGTCCCCGAACGCCTCCAGGCACTTTGCCTTATTGAGACTGTAGTCGAAGAAGCTGAGGACAGAAGAGCAGAGCTGAAGCTCCCTCTGAAGTGCCTCTGAAGGTCCCTGAGGGCGAAGGGGCCATGCTCTCACCACGCCGTCATGTTGCCCACGCCGTCTCCCCCCTCGTCTTCATCGTCCTCCACCGGGCCCCCCGCCAGCCAGCAGGTCAGACTGCTTCCTGACGTCAGGATGTGAGACGTGCAGCTGATCGTGGGCTCTGAGAGGAGACGCTCGGTTAGAGACACGCTGAGTGATCACAATGTGGACCAGCAGGACGCTGTGTCTTCCTACTGGACTGAGGAGACATTCATGTAATACGACGGCAGACAAACATGTTCATCCACACCGAATAAAATGTGAGTGTGAAGTTTGAGTGAAACGGAACACGAAGAGGGAGAAAGACATGAAAAGTTTTACTTATATATATATATATATACACATATATACTGCTGTACTATTTTAACCCAAGCGGATCTACAGACAGATCGTGTTTGTGATTAAAAACACGACGTGTAGATGGTTCTACAGAACGACCCTCTATGACATCATAGACCTGCTCACCCTCGTCCCCGGGCCCCCCCCCGCTGTGGGGCCGGGTCCCGGCCGCCAGCAGCAGCAGCAGCGCGGCGGTCCAGCAGCGCGGCATCTCCTCACGTCCTCCAGAGAAGACTGAGGAGGAGGAGGAGCCACCGCTTGTGCTCACCAGAGAGGAAGGAGGGGGGGGCTCACAGGATGCAAACATCTTCACTCTGTTAGCAGGACCCAGACACAGCTGTTACCACGGCGACCGTGATAGTGAATAAACTCAGTGAATATTGTGTAACTGTTTTATTGTGTCTCATTAATAATGTGAATGTTTAAAAGTCAGAACAATAACAGAGATCGTTTCACATGTTGGAGAGCAGATCTCATGTGGATCTCATGTGGATCTCATGTGGATCTCATGTGGATCTCGCTTGACAAAAAAAGTTAAAACCATGTAAACATGAAAATGTGGAAACATGAAAACACAAAACCAGAACCACTTCCTGCATCCGGTCCTCACGTTGTCTTCAAATGAGGCCACTTGGTAAACATCTTTACTACGTCTGTCCTCATGACCCGTCTGTCTGTCCTCATCACCAATAGGTATACAGTGGTGTATTTGTACTTTGGGAGTAGTTATTGGTGTATTTGTACTCTGAGTGGAGGTTTGGGTTAAGTCCCGCCTCCTCTAACCTCAGGCCTCGTATCTCGGCTCAACATCTCAGAACATCAGCGGCTGCGGTTCCGTGTGTTCCATCTCCTCCTTCTGCCACCTGAACAAGTACACAGCATGTACACGGTGTACGCAGTACTCCGTGTACATGCTAGATTTTATTAATTTATTCACATTATTAATATTGTTATCATTATTGTTGTATTATTTTGTTCACATAACACAAACATCTGGTTTGAATATCTGATAAAAGGGTTTGTTATTGTGCTTAAATAAAAGCAGCATATTATTGTCCCAAAAGTGGGCGGGGTTTGTTTTTATACTTTATTACAAGAGATCTGTACGTGGTCACGCATCACTGACTGCTTTATAATATATATATGTATATATATTTTATATAATATACACACACATAATATACACGCATATATGTACACATACATGCTCCACCTTCTGTTGCTAAGCCTGGAAAGGGGGGAGACAGACAGACAGACAGACAGAGACAGACAGACAGGCTGACAGACAGACAGACAGAGACAGACAGACAGGCGGACAGACAGACAGACAGAGACAGACAGACAGGTTCTGGCAGACAGACAAACAGAGACAGGTTCTGGCAGACAGACAGACAGACAGAGACAGGCGGACAGACAGACAGACAGAGACAGGCAGACAGGTTCTGGCAGGCTGACAGACAGACAGAGGCAGACAGACCGGTTCTGGCAGACAGACAGATAGAGGCAGACAGACCGGTTCTGGCAGACAGACAGAGGCAGACAGACAGGTTCTGGCAGGGAGGTGTTGCTCGTCCTGCAGATTTCGACTTGTTCAGAAGTGACTCGTCACCACATCCTGTTTCTTCTGTCACAGTCCTCTAAAGACACTTTAACGTTTCATGACACTCACACACTTCTACTGGAGCACACAGTGTGAGACACTTTCTACAGTAATGCGGCTCTCGACCAATCAGAGCCCGGCTCCTCAGGCCGGCTCGTTAAGGGTCCGAAGCGTCAAACTGTACTCGACACAAAGTTTGCACAGATTTACTTCTGTATTTTTTCTTTCTTGTTACTTAGAGACTCAAACCTCAAACAACACGTTGATCTGTCACTTCCTGTTTGTGCCTCTATCTTTAAAACCACAAACATACAGTAATTCACAGAGTTCTTAATCAAACGAAGAGCAGGAGTAGTTTCCCCACTTGGTGCTTTAGTGGGATTAAGTAAACTCATAATGGAGCATTATGAGGCACAATACTTGTTAGTAAATGTGAACAAGACTAAACGACTACTTGATCCTGATGTGACGGCGTGAGCGACAGGTAAACCACAGGCAGCTGGAACAACCGACACGGGGGACTGCTGTGGGAGTCTTCTCCCCCCCGAGTTCACACAGTCTCTCTGAGAAAACCACTCAACTCGAACACATGAGCCCAGAACCTGGAGCTCGTCACCAGGAGACCAGAGAGGATCAGAGTAAATGTGGCCCACAAACCTTCATTGGTATCAACAGCTGCTGGGTTTCAACACAACCAAAGGTCATCTTCTGTGGAACCAGCTTCCAGGTTCAATCCGCTGGGCAGCCTCACATTTAAGAGTGGGTTGAAGACGGCCCTTTTTGAAAGGTCTTATAATATGTGCTGGTTCAGGTTCATAATTAGGGCTGGTTCAGGTTCATAATTAGGGCTGATTCAGATTCATAATTAGGGCTGGTTCAGGTTCATAGTTAGGGCTGATTCAGGTTCATAATTAGGGCTGGTTCAGGTTCATAGTTAGGGCTGATTCAGGTTCATAATTAGGGCTGATTCAGGTTCATAATTAGGGCTGGTTCAGGTTCATAATTAGGGCTGATTCAGGTTCATAATTAGGGCTGATTCAGGTTCATAATTAGGGCTGGTTCAGGTTCATAATTAGGGCTGGTTCAGGTTCATAATTAGGGCTGATTCAGGTTCATAATTAGGGCTGGTTCAGGTTCATAATTAGGGCTGGGCTAGTTAGGGCTCGCTCAGCTATATGTGTGTATGTAGTCATGTTTTTAATGTACAATCATTTAGCTGTATTTTTACTTTTTGATGTATAATGGATACATATTCTTCTATTCAGTTTAACTGAGCATGAGAGCTTACAGACTAGAACTCCTGACTTGTTAGAAGATCATACAACCTGTTAGTTGTATGATCTTCATAAGAACACACTCTGGGAGAAGTTTTGGAGCTGCTGAGCTTCTAGTCTAACTTCATCTTTGAACATCGTTTATGGTTTTCATCTGTTGTAGATCAATACAGTGATAACCAGTTTTTGCTGATTTTCTTTGAATGTTTTTATTTTCAATACAGAGACATATTAAACTGAAGAAAACGGGAAATAGAAGATTCATAATGTGTCCTCATAGTTTTTTTGGTTGTTGGTGCTTAAAAGAACAACGAATTGTTAACAAGTTTGAAACCGTCAATATTAGAATATAATAATTTCAATGTTTCATTCTGTGAAAAATACTTTAAAAAGGAAACTGTAGAATTTTGCTTTTGCTGGAAAAGTATTTATTCCTCGTCAGATGAACAAAACATTCGTATTTGTGAGTCACTTTGTCACCAAAAGATATTCTTTGAAATACAGGAAGTTACTTTGTGCTTCGTCCAGTGGAAGAAAACATTTACATCAAAGTTTGAAAGTGAAGGAATCAGTTTGTATGTAGTATGATACGCAGCCGCTGCTCCTCACTTCATCTTATGAAAATATATAATATTCAGCAGGAATTTATTCAACTTTCTACATTGTTCACTCAAAAGATTAAAAAAAACTTAACTTCAGTTTCATTTCATAAAAAATGCTTTTCTCTGAGAATCTGATTCAGTTCGATATTGTTAATAATTAGTCTTTAGTGTTAATAACTTGAGTTAATAGTGTTAATGATTGGTGTTAATAACTAGTGTTGATAATCTAATGTCCGGCTCACACTGGAAGCTTCCTCCTACAGCGTTTAGTCCTATCTGAGTTATCGATTAGTGTCACCGGATCCTTTTCCTAATCAAACAAAGAAAGACAAAGAAGCTTAAAGTGAGAAAAGAAAACGGGCGATTATCCCACACGGAGATATAAAAATAAAAGAAATAAGAATAATCAAAGGAGAAAATGAAAAAGAAAAGCGGCCATCAGGATTGATTACTTCTGATTGGTTAAAAGGGAACAGAGCGACCTTTAATGACCCCGACTGAGGACGAATAAAGCTGCTAGACTAAAGAATAAAGGAGGTTTTTGTCAGTATTTCCTATCAATAAATCACTTTACAAATCAAACGACTGAAGAGCCGGACGTCTGATTCTCGCATCGAGACCTGAAGGCAACGCGATCATTAAACCGTAAACTAACAGAACTTAATGATACGAACAGAGAAGATGTGATTGATAAACCTGAAGTAGGATATGTTTCTTAATGAGCCTACAGAGACTCTCTCCCGTTCCTTCCATCACTTCCCGTTGCGTAACAGCTGGGCTTTAGCAGAAGAAGAAGCAGAGGTCTTCACATATCGGAGGTGATATCTGATGGTGGTCCTCAGCTGATCTGGGGTCAGTTCACTGCTCCTTCAGACCCGGATGAGGAAGTCGAGGCCGAGGGAGGCGGGGATGTGCAGCGTCTCCAGGCTGAGGGCGGACGGCGTGTAGGGGAACAGGACGGGGAACATGTGCTTTGTGTCCATCAGGAGCTGAGGGGGGTCGTGTCTCTGCTGAGGACGGGTCTGGACACACAGGTAAACAACCAGGTTACACAGTGGGGGGTCACTGGGAAGGACCACTTACTTTTAAGACAGAGCCCAGCTGTTAAATCCTATTTTAAATGAGTATCTTCATATATATATTCATGTATTTATATGTCTCACCTGGATGCTCCTGATGAAGGACACACTGACTCTCTCCTCAAACTCGTTCAGAGGAGTGTAGAGGTTCAGGATCTTAACGATCTGCAACAGAGGACAACGGTGATCAATACGCCCGATGTCTCCAATCAGCTGGGGGAGGAGGGTCAGCTGACCTGCTGCGTGCTGAGGGCGCTGCACAGCGAGCAGATGGCCTCGGCGTCCTGAGTCGTCTTCTTCTTCACCTGCAGCAGCTGAGCGGCCTGGATGATCGGCTCCAAGGTCTCTGCAGCTTTACTGTGGGACAAGTTGTTGGCCCGAAGCCACTCCTCCCTCTGACTGGTGTTGTACCTGCACACACAGACACAGGGTCAGAGACAGGATGTAGGAGACAGGACCCGGGACCCAAGGGGACGCCGCGTGTCTCGCTACCTGAGCTGCATGCCGTTGCTCCAGGAGCACACGTCCTTGCGCAGCAGCAGGTTGTTGAGGGTGACGGCGTTGACGCAGTGGAACAGCTGACGCACCACCTGACCCACGATCTCGGGGTCCAGGCCGTGGTCCCGCATGGTGCCGTGGAACTGGCCCAGCTGCCGGATCAGCGCCTGCAGGGTGTAGGTGGCGGGCCCGCCGCTGTCCACGTCCATGCTGGACGAGCGGTTCCTGTAGCCCATCGTCTTGACCCCCGCCAGGCTGGGGATGCTCTCGCTTTCCAACATGGCCGACACTGAGGGGGAGGAGGGGGGCATTATTATAATATAACCCTACACTATATAATGTATTGATGACTATGATACATAAAAGTACACTATATCATTTATACATCAATATGATATATAACAGTACACTAAAAGTATTACTATGATATCACAATACACAATATTTTGTAGCGTCTTGGTGTTGTGGCGAAGGGGAATCCTTTTATTCGTTAGCATTAGCGACAGTTAGCGGACATCACTAGCATATATAACCAGAACTCACCGATCATGGGCTGTATGATGCCCTCAGCCACCTTGATGAGCTGCTGGTAGATCTGGATGGAGAGGTCACTCAGCACCTGCCGGTACTCGGCCAGGTCAAAGTTCTTCAGGCAGTGTTCGTTCTGTTTGCCCGTGTTCTGAGTCATAAACGCCTAAACAACAAAAACAGCTTGTTACTCTGACCATTACAAAGCTGACATTTAGCATGTTAGCTCAGCATTTTATCTACAGCCAGTTTCATTTTAGCTCCATGTTAGCACATTAGATCAGGTTTCCTGTTAGCATGTTAGCCTAGCTGCATTCAGGTGGTGCGGGTGGGGCTCTGCTCTCACCTCGTCTCCGCTGTACTGCTTCAGGCAGTGGAGCAGCCGGCTGGTGTTCGCCAGCCAGAAGGACGTCATCTCAAAGTCCTCGTTATTCTTCTGCAGACGGAAATACAACGTAAACATCTAGCTTTCATCAGATGGCAGATCTACCAACTCTCACGGTTTCGCCGTGTGACACACGCTTTTGCATGTTTTCACACGCACTCACGCCACACAACAAATTTCTCACGGCAAAAAAAGAAATTCGGATTTTGGGCCGAAGCGCGTTCGTTCGTTTTCAAACTCCCCGACAATAGATGGCGCTAAGGAGCGCGTCTGTGAACCTATTCGCTGCATAGACATCCTGTTTACCCCGAAGAGTCCCGGAGTTAGCAACAGAAGAAGGTTTTCAAACAGACACAACCGCGGGAGAAACTAAGGAGGAGCAAAGACTAAGGTACGTTAATGACATGTGGTTCAATTAAGTACTCACTCTCTTAAACTTTAATTCTTGAAAGACATTATTAGTTGTGTTTGTGTGATTTTGAGTGGTGAATGTAAACTGTCACAACAAGCAGCAGGAGAGCACCTTGTTAACCTCTTGGTGTACTGCACGCTCAAAACATCATAGCATTGTTTATTAAGCCTTAATAAACAATGCTTGATAAAAAAAAGATACTAACCAGCTTCTGATCACCTTCTTAATACCTCATCTTTTGTTATTTTATTTATGTGTATTTATATTATGTGTATCCATTGTTTTGCTTTGAAAGGCTACTGTTTAAGCACTTTATTTGTTGCACTTTTTTGTTTGATAATGAAAAATATTTTCCCTAACCAAACTTGTCATTTTTTGCTGAACATGAATCATTAAGTGCTCTTAAGAATACTTATATAATTATTAACAATATAGGTGAGGTTTTAGTTAAGAGTTAGTTGAATACCATTGTAATCAAAACAACCTAAATTGGTCTAATCTTAAACACAGGTCTATTAATTAGGCTATTTTGTGGTACATAGACAGTCATTGAGCACAGCAATAGTTTTCTGGATGAATGTTCAGCTCAAGTCTAGAAGGCCCCACAAGTCATGAGCAGATGAACATAAATCAGAATAAGTTCAGGCATACCACCCAAAGATCCACTAGAATGCATGAAATGACATCTACTTAAACCAGAATGTCCTGGGGGTGGACCATCAGCTACGTCTCTGCTTCTCAGAATGTAACCAATGTTGTCCACCTCCAGCAGGCCGCCCCTCTCAACGACGTTGGGCCCCACAAACCACCAGAATGCAGCGTACAACATGGGTACTACGCCAAATGAATTCCAATTTCCTGATATGAGCCACCAATGTGTGTGGCTGCGTGCGCGGCAAAATCTTGGTCACCCCCGACAAAATCTCACTCCAAGTTTTTTTGAAAAGTTGGCAGCTCTGAGATGGTCGCTGGGTGGAGGACGCTCACCTTGAGGACTTTCTTGATGGCGTTGATGGTGGAGGTGAGCAGGGACTCCACCTTCTGGTCGTCGTTGACGTAGTCGGCGTGGCGGATGCACATGAAGAGGATGTAAGCCGGCAGGCAGGGAACTGTGGCCGACACGGTGTTGGGCCTGATGTCTGAAACACATGGAGAGTCCAGTCAGTGAGACTGACCTGTGATCAGTGAACAGACTGACCTGTGATCAGTACACTGACTGACCTGTGATCAGTGAACAGACTGACCTGTGATCAGTGAACAGACTGACCTGCGATCAGTAAACAGACTGACCTGCGATCAGTAAACAGACTGACCTGCGATCAGTACACAGACTGACCTGCGATCAGTGAACAGACTGACCTGCGATCAGTACACAGACTGACCTGTGATCAGTGAACAGACTGACCTGCGATCAGTACACAGACTGACCTGTGATCAGGGTACAGACTGACCTGCGATCAGTAAACAGACTGACCTGCGATCAGTAAACAGACTGACCTGCGATCAGTACACAGACTGACCTGTCATCAGTACACAGACTGACCTGTCATCAGTGAACAGACTGACATGCGATCAGGGTACAGACTGACATGCGATCAGGGTACAGACTGACCTGTGATCAGTACACAGACTGACCTGTCATCAGTACACAGACTGACCTGCGATCAGTAAACAGACTGACCTGTCATCAGTACACAGACTGACTTGTGATCAGTGAAACAGACTGACCTGCGATCAGTGAACAGACTGACCCTGCGATCAGTAAACAAACTGACCTGTGATCATTGAACAGACTGACTTGTGATCAGGGTCTTAAACAGTAGGGCCTCGTCCTCCTTGTAGTACTCCAGCATCCCCTCAAAGTCCTTCTCTTTCCTCTGGACCGTCACCTGGCGGCTCAGTGCAGGTCTGGACCGGCTGGTCTGAGCTGCAGCCTGAGAAGCTACAGAGACAGAAGGAGACGGGGACACAGATTGAAAAAGGGGGAGGCAGGTTGAGACACAACAGTCTCTGATCAGCTGACGGAATCGACCCTTTGACCAGCTGCTCTCACCTTCTAGCTCCTGAACCTTCTTCATGTAGATCCTGAGCTGCTTCTTTAGCTTCCTCTCGTTCTTCTCCAGTTTCTCCACTAGCTCCTTGAGGTCCTACAGACAACGACAACATGGCGATGAGTGTTGCTTCACCCCCTAGTTGTTGTCCCCTGGAGCCGGTCCTCACCAGGTTGTCGTTGGTGAGCCTGGTGATCTCCTGCTGGACGCTGTACTCCACCCGAGCCTCCGGAGACAGAGACGCCGTGTAGCTCAAGATCTCCTGCTTCTTCTCAATGTCGTCCCTCAGCAGCTCGATCTGTGTGTGGAGAGCTTCCAGCTCGTCCCCATGCTGCCTGGACTGAGTCTGCAGCTGAGCCTCCAGCAGCCTGTTATATGTCCATACAAATATATACTTCATGATTTCTATATTATATACATATATGAATAGTTTAAATTCCGTACTACATGAATAAAGACAGATTCAATAATTCCTTTAATGTAATAAAATAATTCCCTCACAAGGTTCATTTTGTCTTGAAAGCAGAAGCACGTCCGTACACTTCTGATGTAAGACTACGGTTTGAGGATAATTAGGATTAATGTATTAATTTACTGTCGTACGAGTTGCACACAGCCGAGTCAGGAGCCGCCCAGAGTACACAGATGTTACTGCAGGGATATGAAGAGTAGAAGAAGAACGAGAAGAAGCAGAAGAAGAAGAAGAAGCAGCAAGCAGAGACCTGGCCACCTGTTTGAGGCCCTGGTAAGCCAGACCCAGCTCCCCGTCTTCATCGAGAGGACACCAGTCCTGCAGAGTGCTGCTAGCGCCCATCAGGAGGAAGAGGACGAAGAGGAAGAGGAAGAGGAGGAGGAGGATACAGGGGAGGAGGAGGAGACAAAGCAGCGTGAGGAAGCTGGAGGAGACACTGAGGTCCACAACAGAAAGTCAGTTTCAAGTCTCGGGGTGGAGGCGTAACAGAAGAAAAAGAGTGAATCAATTAATTATAAACAAATCATATCAAAAGTAAGAATACATTAATTATATATATTATGTTAACTTAGATTTAAGGTTTGGTGCAGCATGACTTTAAACCATGATTTTAATCTGAACTAAACTAAAGCTTAACAACATTTTGACTGCAAGCAACAAAGTCCTCTGCGTGACATCACTGCCCCCTGCTGGACGGGAGGCGTTACCATCAGGCGAGACACAAGGTGGAAAAAACAAACACACCTGAGAACATCAAATTCCGGGGCAGCGTCTGACACTTTAAACGGGGTGACAGGACTTACTTCTTGGACTCGCGCAGTCCGTGGTACGCTTTGAGAGCCTCCTCGCTGTCCAGCGGCTCCTTGTCCTCGCTCACCTCCGGAGCTTCACTGCTCTGCTGCTGAAACAACAACAACATAAACACATGCACGTATGTAATATGTATGACCTGCAGACATCGTTCACACACTCACTATTGGCTGGTTGTTCTCCCGGATGTGGGCGGTGCTGACTATCTGAGTCCTCAGGATGAGGACCTCCTCCTTACGGCCGTCCAGCTCCTCATTGGCTGAGCGGAGCTGGCTGAGCAGCAGGTTGTAGCTGTCCTGAAGCTCCTTGGACGAGTCGTTCTCAGACGCTCGCTCAGAGATAGACTTCCTCAGCTCGTTCAGGTCCTTCTTCAGCTTCTTGTTCTCTGATTCCAGCTCCTGCCTCTGAAGAGCGTGAGAGGAGGAGATGATGGGGGAGAAGCACATGGAGTGAGAGAGGGATATGATGTGAGCACATGAGGCGTGAGGAGATGATGAGGTCCTGTACCTTCAGGTTATTGTAGGCCAGATCAGCAGTCTCCTGCTCCGAGGTGGAGCTTCTGGACTCTGAACCCTACAGTGAAGCAAACACAAACACCAAAGTGAGATTAACTCAGTTTGTCAGCGAAGCTCCTCTCCATGAAGAACGAAGACATGGGAGCAGAAGTCACCCTGCTTCTGGCCAGCTCCTCCATCTTGTCCAGGTTGACCTGCAGCCTCCTCCTCTCCTGCTCCAGCTCTCGGACTCTCTTCTGCAGCTTCATGAACAGGCTGATGTCCATGGCGGCCTTCTCCAGGCCCATCTCCTGCTCAGGAGGAGACACAGTTAGAACCAGGAGGCGAGCACCGACCCCCCTCTCCTCCGCACCGACTCACCTCCACTAGCTGGATGGAGTCTTCGGTGTCTCCCAACTCCGAGGTGGAGATGGAGGTGTAGTTGGAGTCGGACTCCAGGCTGCTCTGATTGGACGGGTTCCTCCTGTGGCCAGGCTGGAACTGGAGGAGGACATTTGGACATATGTATACACCACCACAACAGAGTCCTGAAGAAGAATGAGGTGATTCAAAGTGAAACCACATGGCAGGTGACGGAGGTCACCTTGCTCATGGACAGCTCCTCCTTCAGGTTGTCGTATCTCTGCTCCACCGTGGTCTTCTGCTTGAGGAGGTTCTGGTATCGCTGCCTCTCTGCGTCCAGCTCCGCCTGCAGCGATGTCTCCATCAGAGACACACTGCCGCTGTCCTCTGGACGAGAGACACCATCTAATAAGTCATGTGAGAATGAAGGCCAGACAGAGAGACAGAGAGGTGGTGTCCTTGTGTCTCACCTCCAGAGCTCTTAGTGAGCTGAAGAATCCTGTGGTTCATCTCTTCCTTCTCACTCTTCAGCAGAGCGTTCTCTTTCTCCAACTCCTCCACCCGCTGAGGAGACACATGAGGACCCAGAAGGACACAGGATGTCAGAACCAGTCTTCTCCCCCCCACCTATCTTCTGTCCCCATCCTCACCAGTTGGAGCCCCGTCTTCTCCTTGCCGTGCTCCTCTTCCATCCTCTTCCTCTGGGCCGACGCCTCCTGCAGCTCCTCCCTCAGCCGGTCCAGCTCCTCCTGCAGCGAGGAGAGCTGTGCTCCTCCTGCTCCTCCTGCTCCTCCCTGCCGGCTCTGCACCTCCTCCAGCTGTTTCTGCAGCTTGTTGTTGACCTGCAGCAGCTGTTCGTTGTGCGTGCGGAGCTCCTTGGACTGAGGAGGACACGTCGTGGTTATTAATGTGAAGATGGATCACATGACCACCAGGAGTCCTCTGCTCACCTGGTCGTCCATCTTTCTCTGCAGCTGGACGATCTTGTTCTCCAATGCCGCTGTTGAGGCTCTTGA